AGGCCCATGAAATGCCCGTTCATGAAACATCGTGTCTCTGCATTTACTACTGTTGCTCAAATCTAATGCTAAATTTAATAAACCCCACACTGTCTCCCCTTAACAGCATGCGGAAATGTATGATTTTCCATACATAGAAAATACACAGCTTGTGGTTTGGGAAATCCTGAGAGCAAATGGTACGCTAGATCGGGTTCAAAATTATTCGGGAATTAAAAAACAAGTCCTGCCTTTTCACCAAATGAGTAAAAGAACTAATAATTTTATGCATGTCTTCTATGAGATATATTTGAATTTATATGGACGGCGAAAATTGGTGAGAAAAATTCATACTACATAAGTAGTCATTTTTTACAAAGTGTAATTCCTGCAAACGGCCGAAAAACAGTTCATTTATGGCCGGCATCCTGAAGTAACTGAATCACCAAATAATCTTTTCGAGTCGAAAACCAGTTCCGAATTTAGAGTAACATTTAATGAGTTAGCACATCTACTGTATAACAACAGTTTAAGCACGAGATGCGATACACCATACCAAAGTGCTCCCCGAAATTTAATTGGTCCTAAATTTTCATAGTTCTGCTAAGCATAGCTGCTTTGAGTCAAAGTGCAATTCTAACACCTAGAGCCCCAGCAATTTCTCCCGGCCGCCTCTGACAGAGAATGCCATATCCTCGGCGGTGTTTCAGTTCTGATTCTCCCGTAACGAACACCTTTGAATAGTCCTTTCGTATTAACTGGTCCCGCAGATATCCGGATTCGTGTGCTTATCCGCCCGGGTTGCGGCTGCGAGCCTGAATCCGTTTGGAGAATGTTCTTACGCAGCACTGTTTGTGAGCCAACGGATAGTTGCTGTAAATGCTGAGAAGTTTTGTGGTGTTTGTTGTCTTCTTGTAAATGTTTGCCCCGATTTCACCGTTAGTATTTTGTCCTACGAGCACACCAATGACGCACCGCCTCTGATCTGTTGTCTCTTCCTTCGTGGATTGTATATCTGGGAAGACTGCATTCCACAGAATGTTCTTTCCTACGACAACAGCAGTGCCGTGTGCGTAGCGACGCCGAAGACCAGCCCATACTGGATGAATACAGTCTTTTCTAGCTACTGCACGACTGGTTTTGCCGTAAAGCCGGAGACCGGGTAGCCCGTTGGAGTTCATTTACTTGCTCATAGGTCTCTCCAGCAAGGGCGGAGCAAGTTTTTGGAAAAATACAAACAGCCTCGTGGGATGCTTAATCTTGAGTGGGCTCTGAATTTCATTGTATGCTTCCCTAAGTTTCTTGTGCAAGACTTTGTGTGCCAAATTTGGTGGGATAAATGTGAATAACAACGTCACATCAAAAAATGACACGATTTAGCCCGATTGAATACTCTGGAAGGCAAATGACTACAAAAAAATAAGAGGCTAGTTAAAAAGAGGTAGTCTAATTGGCTCTGGGCATGCTCGGTCTCGATCAAATCCACTTTGAACTGTTTTGGTTTCGCGGAAATTTCAATGGAAGGGTTAAGAAGTCTAGTTTACGAGCCTGCGCTTGCCTTTTACAAGTTCTCATCAGGCTAGTACATTTATGTTGGAGAGGACAAGTAAAATATATGAGTGATAAGAGTGATAAGAGAACTCGAAATACGAGTGATAAAAGTGATAAGAGAACTCGATTAAAGTCCGTCTTTTCACACACATGGGATGTCCTGGAGGGGCTTGGAAAGTCTGTGCCAGGGGAGGGAGATAGCGCGGAGAGATGATATGCTATCTTATGAAATTTGTTTCTAATTTTTTAATTTAATTTATTTAATTAGGGTCGCCATAGAAGGCATCATGTCGCATAATGTCAACATGTTTCAGTTACGTGAGGATCCCAACTTTCGAATGGCATATGTGCTACTTCTCTCGAAATCCTTAGTCTAAATGGGCTTCCGTGAGAGAAATTTCTCTTCGAAACCTGTCAAAAGAATGCATTGTAGTTTTAGATTTATTTTATTGATGGTTGATTTTTAAGGAATTTTCTGATGTTGAAAGAAACGATCAATCGAACGAACTACATTTAGGTCTTTTCTCACAATAAATACTAATATTAAAGGAGATGGTAGTATACACAAATAGCCCTCGGCTTACTAACATCATAAAGAAACATCTCAAATGCAATTTGCCTAAAATAATGTTAAATTAAGATTCTGGACACCTGGGTCAGGCATTAAACGACCCTCGTCAAAATAGCATGCATGGGTTATGAAAGGGAAACCATAAAAATCTGGCGACTTCATTTTAAAGTTGAAGGGGATCTGTATTTCAAAAAAAATATAGATATAAATAGCCAAACTGCCCAACGTTTTGATATTTGCCTGGATTTACACCGTCCACGTATATGTATTGTTTAATCTCAATGTTTTTTGTCTTTCCAAAAAACCGAAGCGTTTTGTGCTCAAAATTGTTTTAGGGGAAAAACTTGCAAGTGATTAGGGGGAGAAAATAAGAATACTGCATGCTTACTAAATGTTTATTATCCGGACGTCTCAAAGACAAGCGTGCTTCGATTGCCAAAGGGTAAGGTGGCCCCACATTCCACAGCATTCCCCGGCGTCCGCATCTGTACTATTTTATCTAAGCAGATCTGCCCTTGTGCGGCACATCAGAGGTCCGGGGACGGGACACGAGAGGGCTGCCGAAGTCCGCGTGCAATTGCACCGGCATTTTTATCGAAGTTCTTTGCCACTCCACTGTTCACGTTAGAGTTTCTCCAGCGTCAACATACTGCCCGTCTTAAAATACGCAGACCAGTCAGTTACGATGTCCATAGGGCCTGGTAGGTTGCGTGCTTGTATACTAGGCCTCCAGCGTCTCCCTAGGTCTGTGGTCGTTCTGGTCGCCAGTTGTTTCAATCTCTCAAGAGGAAACGTGTGTCCTGTTGTGATCTCGAATTCTGCCCCCAACTACAGGGGACCTATCCTGTTCGCCCTTTGATATTCTACCCCATGCGTTGGTAGGGGACGTTCACCGATCGGGTCTTACAGGCTCTCTCTCAGCCCAACCAGCAGCCGCACAGCGGCGCGTGATATAGGCAGAATGGCATTACCGGCAAAACCGACAGGACAACGGGCTCGTGGCCCAGTGGTTAGAGGCGTGGACTTCTAACTAACAGGTCGCGAGTTCGAGCCTCAAATGTTGCACACTTCGGGGTTGGGTATGACTGGCTGCCGACGGCTAATAAGCCAGAAACGGCCATTCCAGTCTCCCTTGTCTTTGTCGGCAATACCATTCTACCTCGCGCGTATTATCGGTCGTCTACCAGTCGCTCTGTTGTAGTTTCCTTGGCAAAAGTTAGATCGAAGTTTTGATGTCCTGTTTACTCGTAGGTAAACTTATACCAACTGGCGATGCTCAAGTCAGTTGAATTCTGATTCTTGGAAGACGTTTTCTGCAGAACCATAGAAGTCTAGTGTCATACCTGGAAGAAGACCACCGTCAGAAGTTGAAGAAATCACCTCTTATTTAGGTGATGGCGGTCGTATGCGTGTATTCTGCCTCTGTTGTCCGAACCAAGGCGTCGTAAACGACCATGCCGATGGGGAATTATTGAGAAAGGTAATCTCAACAAAAGGACCTCGAGCCAACTGAGGGCGGATTGTCTGCGAAGGCTTGGAAGAATAACTTCACACGTCGACATAGGCCCACACGACGTACGACATGTTTAGTAATACAGAGCCTGGGTTAACTGGATGAGGTTAAGGAGAATTAAAGTTAAAAACTCTGTCTACTCAAATGAACAAAGCACCCACAAACATCGGAATCAATTTTCCCGGGTGCATCACAATTCCTGCTATTCCAGTATGACTTTACGGACGACAGTGCAGCCGATCAGAGGTTTATGAGCCACTGACAGCCAACATTAAAGGGGAGGTAGAGGGAAGATCTCTACCGGGTGCGCTAAGTGTCAGTTTGTAAATAAAAGAAGGTCAACGTCCTATAAGAAGCGTCCTATCGTCTACAAAATTAAATCTAACTTCCCGTACACTGAGTGAAAACGCCTTCACTTAACGCTTCATGTTTTCTGCAGGGTTCATTAGGATCACTAACAAATCGCGGGATACTAGACAGTTCGACCGTCGTTGACGACGATTTCCACCGTGTGCTCCACAGCAGGGTGAGAGCAAGGACGAGGACTTACGTTGCATCTACCACAGTCTCTCCCTCTACCCCACCTGGGCCAGGTGTCACTGCAGAGCCACGGAGACCGGAGGCTGGAGGGGCCGCAGGCGACAGGCACGGCGGGTGAACTCGCGCCTAGGCGTACCACTCCACCTGTTGATCCACAACGTACGCTAGCCAGGATTTTATACACCAAGAAGAAGAAGAAGAAGAAGAAGAAGGGACTGCTCGGATCCTACGGAGTGGGAGTGCCGTAGAGGCCACATTAGGAAGGAGCCATTGCAGTCTGAATGTCAGTCCACCAGTCGGCCACTCCACACAAACCCATACACTGAGCTGACTGCGGTGTCCGAGTTATACCGTCAGTTGGCAACCTTCCAAGTCACTGCGTTTAACGAACCATGATAGTCTCAAGCGCATCATATTGTTTTTAGTGAAAAATATACGCTGAAACCGTCGATCTCACTGTTGATTTGCCCCTCAGGCACCGGTTCACTGTCTGGGTCGATCAACCAACTAATGGTAGGATTGGAAGAAGTGGCTGACGGAGCTGATGGTGGCTCATCTGCGCGTGCCACGTACACGACCTGGCGTCCGTACGCACTCACCAGGATTTCACACACACAAGGGGGTAGGGCGCCCGGATCTCCCATGAAACCAACGAGCCGCGTGTAGGAATTAGCCAAAGGGCACACTTTCCACTTACATGACGGGCGCCGGTAATGTGTGATGCCAGAGGTGTTCATGTGTGTTGCATGTGTTGGTGGCAGGATTTGTGATGATGTGATCCTGTCTGTGCTGAGTTATCGCAGGTTTTCAGGAGGCCGCATGCGATCTAATAGACCCACGCGATGTTTAAACATGCAAGAGCAATGCGAGCAGTTGATGCAGCGGTTCGTCTATGTTAGTGCTCCAGGCACCGGTTCTGAAGGCTCTATGCGATGGATTCGCAGGTGACCAGCCAGGCCGATGAGTTAGATGAATGTTCGGCTGCAGTATCAGCAGGATAGGCTGGGAGATGTTGAGTCGGTTGCCGCTGTAATGATCCTGGTGGTGGTTGCGCCGGTCGATGAGGAGTTGATTGGGCTGGAGGTGGGGGTTGGTGGGTGTGCAAGGTCTCCTAGGTATTTCAACATTACGGCGGATTTCGCTGATGCGGATACACATGTGACCGGGTAGGTCCAGGCAGCGAATACATGTGCGTGAACAGTGAAGGCGGATGCGGCAAGTGTAGGTGGGGGCTCCTGGCACTGGGGCGCCGGTCGCAGTGCCATGGATTAGCAGGTGATCGACCAGACCGATGCGTGAGGTGAATATGCGATCGCAATAAAGGCAGGTTAGGGCCGAGTCCATATCTCTAGCTGGGGTGGGAGCTGTGATGGTCGTCGTAGTCACCACGGAGGTTGTGCCAGGGATGACGGAGATAAAGGTGGTCGACGGTGACGGGAGACCGGGGATGAAGGTGGGGGTCGTCGTGGACGTCGCTGGGGGTTGGAACATGGCCGGCCAGGGAGACAGAACTTGATGTTGTCGGGCTGTTGGTGCATTGGATCCAGAGGAGTCCGACAACATTGACTTGTGCGCTGGATGTTCGTTGACAGCTCGGACATGTTGGTCCGCCTTGTAGCACGCCAGTTCTCGGGCGATTAGGGCCGTCCTGCGTTCCGGACGTCTGCTCCTCGGCTTGTCTAAAATGGAGCGAATATTCCAGCCTGCCAGAGTGAGCGGACCCACTCTAGCAGCCTATGGAGTGGGATGGAGGTGAGGGGGACGAGAGTTGTTGTTGTTTGTTTCTTTTTCGACTGCGAGTTCTGCATTTACGGACCACGGTATACTAGTACATGACGTAATTTCCCAGCATTTATTTAGAGTTCCTTTTCCGGCCCCTTCCCTACGAGGGAGCAGGCAGTGCCATCGCTAAATTGGGTTGCTTAGACATCCCAGACCACTGTCCAACTCAACTTTGGATGACGGATTTGTCTGGTGGATAGCGACTTGAGTTAGTCTGGGCGTTCAGGGGATTGTATGTCACCCTATCAGTGAGACTTTTGAAGTGGAGTGGGGAGGGAGGAGAGGGATGGGGGAGGAGTGTAGGACAATGGAGGAATGGTGGGATGGGATGGGAACAGTATTACTGGGTGTGGGGACATACACAGCACCCGACACCCTCATCTGGTTTAGCCAACCGGTCAAGGCGGTCACCGGGGTGTGGTTGCCAGGCCGAGCCTAGCTTCGGTGAATCACAGATGAGAGTTGGGTGTCGGTTAGGACCTTGAGGAGGAGTCACCATTTGCATGGTACCCTTAACTGAACACCGGTACGGCCTCGCGGAGCGCAAACTTGATTAACAGTGTCTATTAACCTCCATAAGGCGGAATTTATTTTCACATTCTTCTTAAGTTTGTGTCATACGGTCGATTTGAAAAAGGACTTCTACTGTCTCAGTTGATCGTTTCCCCAATGCAATTGCTGTGTCGGTGGCGATGGTGACTCTGTGAAGACTGACAGCCGTCATGCAGACTTCGGTGACGAATCTCATAGCCACCCCCTCCTCCCCCCCCCCCCCAGTTATCTCACTCTGGCCCCGGTGGCAGTAACGGCGCAAAGCCCGCTGACTTGGTTGAGGCCAATGTGCCGGAAGAGCTTAAGCCGAGTTATCCAAAGAGGTGGCTGCCATCACGACTCTCACATTGTTTAATTTCCGAGGAAATTAATGCGCAAACTTGGGGTTGATTCTTCGGAACAGACCTTTACAGGCACTGTCCGAAATTTGATATGAATATCTGAGCTGAAATCTATCATCTACCGTGGCATAACCGGTACTAGTTAGTACCTGTGTTGTCAGTACGGTAAATAATTGCAAAATTGTATACTACTGGCTGCCTGCTGGCGGTTTGTGAATATTACGCGGTTATGCCGCAGTTGTTGATTAATTTCAGCTCAAATATTCATATCAAATCTTGGGCCGTGCCTGTAAAGGTCTGTTCCGAATGATTTACTCCAAGATCGCGAATTTCCTCGGAAATTAAACAAGGCAAGGTGAAACTGAAGTTTATATGCCAGAAAACACACGAGTAAGGCTAGGGGACCCTTCTATGAGCCGAACCCCTCGCAGCTGCGTCAGGCAGCGGCACAAGGTCGGCGAAGCACGCGTGTCTGGACTTTTAGTTAGCACCTGTGTTGTCAGTACGGTGAGACAGGAATGAAGGCTCTGTGGGCTTGCAGGAGCTGCACCCGAGGAAGAACGCTTACCCGCTCTACAGAAGTGCGATGCCAAACACTTTATCTTGCCTTTCGTCCTTGCTAGCACGTTTTCTTTTAACCGTGCCGCACAAGACCACTCACTGATGCTACCTGTCTCGTGCTACAGTTGCACAAACGTTTTACGTAGCCTCCGTATACACCATTTCCACTCACTCATTCGTATGCCAGGCTATTGAGGTTTATCGATTTTAATCGAGACACGGATACCTCAGTCGCGACGAAAAGCAATCTCAGCTGCAGTTGCGCATAGAAGGGTGACTGTTTGTTCATCTGCTTAGCGCAGGAATTTTGACTGTATACAACTTGCTGGAGGCTCCTTTTTCTTCTGTAAACAGTTATTTCCGTGACATCAGTTTGCCCATACAGGAGTGTTTCGGAAGGTGGGGGGAAGAGATGGCTTACTCTGATGACAAACTGAGTAAAATGCGCGGCAAACTAGATGGAGGCCAAGCTGTTTGGATTAAAAGTTAATAGGCTTAAGAGTGTTTAATTAAAGTTGGTACCCTAAGGAAAATTTCTGAGATTCGCGTTTTTGTTTAGATACTATTTCTACCCGGCAGTGCGGGTTGTGGAAAGAACCAAGACTGAGCGCGCTTTTCCAGTGCTCTGTCCAAACACCCTCTTGAAACTGCTCTACCTTCCGATTCCTTTTTTTAAATTTTCAGCTCATAACACGTAGTGTTGACGGTAACAGTTGTTGCTCGCCACAAAATCCGCCATGCACCTTGTTGTCTCTTTTAAATTTTGAGTGGGTTATTCTTTAGGGTTAAGTTCGCCAAATATCCCGCTTTAGTCAAAAAGTTGCTTTGAATTTGCTGCAGACGAATTAAGTCGCTAAAATGACCGGTGAGCACTAGTTGATCTGACCAGCAAATGTACCTGAATTCCTTCTTTATTGACCACGTGGGTCTACGAACTTTAGAAGGCATGCTGTTTTACGGTAAGCTGTGCCTATAATCGTCCGGGAATGTAAAAAAATAATAGTCATGTTCTTTAGACTTTACTGAGTGGAAAAGGTACTAGACGTGGACGCATACGGCTCCACTAGCGGAGTTGAATCCAGTTAAAACACGTTTAGTAACCCATTTCCAAGTAGACAAATCGTCCACATCTCGTCCGCTGGTAGACTTCTCTGGTGCTAATTCTTCCACCTCCGTCTCCAAACCACCGTCATGTCCTAAATACACGAAGACTTTCATTAATAATTCAACAGATGCAAATAAAATTAAGGTTTGTAAACTGCCAAAGTGCATTCGAGCATCACAAGAAAACTTTATGATCTTCTTAACTTTGTAAGACAGTTGATCTTGATAATGTTTCAGTATTTCAGAGAGCTGATCTTTCACTTTTGTGAGTTAATGGGTGGAGACTTGCGTTTGGGATGGATTATAAAACGAACACCTGCCGTCATGGCAACAATACTCTCCTTGTTCACTAAATATGCAAAGACTTTTTGGGTTCACGGGCAAGCTAAGCTAGAATACCAGTTCCATTACATCTTGAGTACTTGAATGGAGAGAGAGAGAGCGAGTCAGAAAGGATTTGACAAGAGCAAATGCCACAGTTACGAGTTGAAGGTCTTTAACGTGTCAGTAGGCACGCAAAAACGCGAGGTTCCCCAGATCAAAAGTCAGAGAAGTTAAGGTTACTTGGGCAACTTTTACTGCAATAGAAAGCGTCCGCACAGCCCAGGAGGCAGTAGAAGCTTGTGTTCATACCACCTGTGTGCCGGTCGTGCGTCTGGGCTTTGTCTGCCCCCAGCCAATCAACGAAAGGCTGCAGGGTTGATCGCCGCCAAGCTGTCGCCTGGCCAGGACCAAGTCACACGAGGCGCAGCAACTGATTGACAGGGGATGTTCGGTGGACTGAAGGCGGCATGGGAGAGTTGGTGGCGACCACGAAAGCCAACTGCCACAGTGTCACTCTAGCCACGCCTTTCTTCCCCTCCACTGGGTTTAATTGACCTTGCACAACGCTGTGAACGCATTTTAGCCGCTGGCGGACAACGACGCTACACCAATTGATGCCGGCGCCTCCGTAAGCCCTCTGTCATTGCCTCTTTTAAAGTCAGTTGAGAGCGTTGTAACTCTCTTTTATTGCATTTACCCGGTCTTTATGGCTGGGGACATAGGCACATTCACAAGTTTTTTGCCTTATTCGTGTATAGCCTGTCTCTCAAGTTCATTTCCTTTCACTAAACCCGCCCTACAACTAATGACATACTAAACTAGGAGTTGAACGTGTGCGTCTGCGACCTCTTCCCTACAATGCTTAGACACTCGCCCCTGTCGTATAGAATTAACCTTCTTTGGGCCGAAAGCGGCAGAATGCTGGGCAAGCTCGGATGATAACAATGCTCAAGTCAAAATAATTTAATTAGCTGCAATCATGGTAGCAGGGAGGCACTACATCTTCAGCAAAGGATGCATTCTGCTCAATGACGCTTCTTGGACCGGTCATGAAACTGCCCTTAAATCATACAGACATCCGCAAACAGCGTATAGAAGAGATAAATTCGTGATAATCGCAAATTTCAGAACTCTGGGTCAACGTACCGATCGCGATTAATCTATTTTCGTAAACGAAAAGGGAAGCTGGAGATCTGAAGATGTCCATGGTGGCGATTTCGGTCCATTGTCCTAAGGACTGGCCATCAGTCGGTGGCGAGAATACTTCAGCACTGTCCAAACTACGGTGGTCGTCGTACCCACCAACGACAATTATCTTCCCCTTGAATGCCGCTGCAGCCAAACAGGACCGTGGAGAATGCATGGGAGCAACAGGTTTCCAGAACTGGGTATCCTGAACAGCCCTCTCCTGCCAATCTGGGCGAAAGTGGCAATACTCCACGGACGTGATACTGCTCGCACCGTCGTGTCCACCGAGGACAAATGCGCGACCGTCGGGCAACGCGGCTGCAGCAGGACCTTCTCTTTTATCTCGTAGCTCAGGCAGGCTGTGCCACCTAAATGGATTATTCACAATCCTCGCTCGGACAGGTGCTTGTTCTAAAACGACTTACTTACGTGGTAAGGGGAGAAGGAAAACTTTGCATTTCAAAAAATTAGGCCTACGGGTGAAGGATCCCAAACACACACACACACACACGACCAGCTAACGATGCCTGTCTAACGTGAAAGGTGGTAATGGGAGTTTTACGGGCGGGCTTATGTATGCATAGAGGACTGGCAAAATATGTATAGATAATTCGTAAATTCGTTTTTCGGGCGGAAAGGTTTTAATGCGTTGACATATAGCAACCGAAACTAAGCAGAGTAATTAACAAAATAGACACTAAGTGTCTACAACGATCGCTTCTCAACTATCTGAGCTGATATCATTGTATATAATGCACCAAACCGTCTACAACAGACGACCCAACCTTGTACGATGAAACACCAAACCGAAATAATAGTGTCGGAGTAAAACTCACATAAATAAGCATAGTAGGTATTTTCTGTGTGCCACGGATGCTTGGGGGCCTTCACTCGATCCTTACCCTGATTTTAATTTGTTCCCCTGCCTGCACGTCGGAATAAGAACTGACTTTTGTTGTGTCAAGTTTGTTTACTGTCTGACTTATCCAACATCGACTTTACTGACTCTATGAAGAATTGGTGTGTTGTGTATGTCCCTCCTTATAAAGATTGCGCTTTACGTGCGTTGCCATGCCTCCTGTATAGACTTCCACTGTCGATGCAGACGGAGAGTTGACCACCGCTCTCTGCATGATTCATTAATGCAGACATTTTCGCGACCTCGTCTGCGTCGATGTTGATCGACTGAGAATGCCACAAGTTGATTGGATAGTCACCAAATAACTACGTTGTAACATCTCTTCCTTCGATGATGACAACAATAATCAATTCCAGTCTAAATCGGGCGAGATGTCTCGCCATTTGCGACCACGGCATCACCAGTCCTCTGTATCTGCGGTCTCCACAGCTGCACTACAGTCCGCAGACAACAAATATTTTTCCCTCGTTAAGAATGGGTCTACTGATGCCCAAGAGTTGAGTCAAGCCTGTGAACAATTCCCACTCAGTGTAGCGCGATAGACCTAGCCACAGTCTCCAATCCGTCTTTCGTAGGTGGGATGCACTACACTTATGAGGCCTGGTCGATCTCATTTCACTCCGTTCGAACCCGACGGTCCCACCCAACGGACCCGGCCTAACATGAATTAGCTAGAGCTCCAGGGAGTAGTTCATCTCTGTTCTTATGAAGGCTGGCGGCTTTCCTTAACTCTGTTGTCGACAGAATGCCGATGGATTTACAGCGGACAGGGGCATTTGGCAGACGTTTCTCCGTTACGGAAGGCTTAGCAAAGACAATCGAACTACATGATGCCTTAAGAGACTCTATCCTATCTTATTCGGCGGTGAAAAGGCTATCGCCAACGCATCTCACCCAAAATTTGGGGATCATACGTATGTCGAGGTTATAAAGGACGTTTTGATAAGTTAGCCCATTGATGTACAGTAGGTAGGCTAACCCATGAAATGTCAACCAAAACTCCGGAATGCGTTTTTGTTTCGTAAATATTAACTAAGTAGGGTTGAACAACTAATCATCTCGTGGCATAATTCTATATTAATTCAGTTACCTCACGATACCGGCTTTCGAATGAACGTCTTTCCGGCTGCATACAAAAACTATACTCTGTCCGAAATGACTAATTAAGTAGCATGCATTTTTCTCATTGATTCTCGATGCCCCAAACAGTTCAATTATATTTCATGGAAAACCTACACAAAAGTATTCATTCCTTTGCTCACACGGCAGAACATCACATATTCCAATTTTATACTCGAAAGAAGGGTATAATTCGGTTTCCAAAACCTTTTCCTACTCCAAATAATCTTGGGCCCCGATCTGCCGTTACATTTGCATTCAGTGTTTCCAAACCACAAGACGTATATTTTCTACGCGCGGAAAGCCATACATTCCTCTATGACATTAAGAGGAGACCATATGGGGTTCATAAAATTTAGCAGAGGATTTGAGCCATATTGTTAACTTTACAAGCCACATTGGTAAATGCAGAGACATGACGTTTTATGAACGGCCATTTCACAGTATTAAAAAATCTCACAACTAGAAACTTTCTTAAAACCCAATTATACCCTTTTCTCCAATATAAAATTGGAAGAAGACGTCATTTTCTACAAAGTGAAAAAACGAATGTATATTTTTTGTGTATGTTTTCCATGAAATATATTTGAATGTCTGAAGGCATAGAAAATTAATCATAAAAACGCATGCTACTTAATTATTCATTTCTTATGGAGTATAGTTTTTCCATGTAGTCGGAAAGACGTTCATTCGAAAGCCGGCGTCCTGGGGTAACTGAATTATTATAGAATTGTGCTACAAGGTGATTAGTTGTTCAACTCTACTTAGTTAATCTTTTCAAAAGAAAAATGAATTTCGGAATTTCGGTTGACATTTCATGAGTTAGCCCACCTTCTGTACCTCTGATCCGCTTATAGTAGAGCCCTATTTAAACTGGAAAATGTGTTACGGCCGCGTTTCAAGGGCTGAGTGATTTCGGCGGCTGTGGGTTTGCTACCAGTGCCATCATGTCATACTGAACCACTTATACTTCTGAGCTCGGGAATCTGGAGAATAGATGTGAAAGGGGCATGACCACAAATGTCACTATCATCTCATCTAACTCACTTTCAATAGCCTCAGTTCATTTTCAGAGACATTGAAGCGCATGTGGTCTCGGCGAGAAATTCCACTTGCCAGGGTGGAAGTCTGACTACTTTGTGCAGGCGTCAGGTGGGACGCAGGCATTACAGCTCCTTAAGTTCGTCAGAAATTAATCGCTAACATAAATTCAATCAGCTTCAAACTGAAATTTGATATGTAAATGTCTACACTAGAAACGCTAGGGGACCCACTGATCGGCCGAATCCCTCGCAGCCATGTCATGCGGTGGCAGAATATCGGCAAAACACGCGTTTAAGCTTTTAGTTAGTTCCCGTGTTGTCAAGTATGGTATATCGTACAACCTATGACTCGGGTAGCTGATGAATAGGGCACACGGGCTGACTTCTGGAGGCCGACGGTTTAAGATGCGCGAGTTCCCTACTGCGTTTAAGTGGCCTAACCATAACGGTATGTGTATTTTCCGGTCTCATCTGAATAATAGATGTGAATAGTAGATGTGCTAACTCATGAAATGTCAACCAAAATTTCGAAATGCGTTCTCGTTTCGAAAAGATAAATTAAGTAGTGTTGTAAAACTATTCATGATGCAGCATAACTTTGTAATGATCCAGTTACATCAGGTTGTGGGCTTTCGAAAGAACTTATTTTCGGCTGCATGAAAGATCTATACTTTAGAAAAATGACTACGTATGTAGTATGCAATTTTCTCATTGATTTTCGATGCCCTTGAAAATTCAATTATATTTCATGGAAAGCATGCATAAAAATATTCATTCTTTTACTTAATCGATGGAAAATTACGTCTTATTCCAATTCCATACTCAAAAGAAGAGTATAATTCGGTTTTAAAAAACTGTTCTTATTCCAGAATAATTTTGAACCCGACCTGCTGTTACACTTACATTCAGGGTTTCAAAACTACAAGCTGCCTATTTTCCGTGTACGGAAAACCATGCATTTCTCTACGGTGTTAAGAGGAGACCATATGAGGTTCATAAAATTAAGCAGTGGATTTGAGCAATATTGTTAACTTTACAAGCCACATTCGTAAATGCAGATACATGACGTTTCATGAACGGCCATTTAACGGTACTAGAAAATCTCACAATTATAAACTTTTTTAGAACCGAATTATACTCTTCTTTTGAGTATGAAATTGGAATAAGACGTAATTTTCTACCGATTAAGTAAAAGAATGAATATTTTTATGCATGCTTTCCATGAAATATAATTGAATTTTCAAGAGCATTGAAATTCAATGAGCAAATTGCATACTACTTAAGTAGTCATTTTTTGCAGAGTATAGATCTTGCTTGCAGCCGAAAATAAGTTCTTTCGAAAGCCGACACCCTGAGGTAACTGGACCATTATAGATTTATGCTGCATCAAGATTAGTTTTACAACACTACTTAATTTATCTTTTCGAAACGAGAACGCATTTCGAAATGTTGGTTGACATTTCATGAGTTTGCACATCTACTGTATATATTCAGCAAAATTTCACAGCTATACCGAAACTAGCCAAAATCATTCTCAGCATGTAAGAAGGTGATTAAACGAAATAGCACCCTTTAATTGTAAAGCAAATGAACTGTTTACCCCGGGATTACAAGTAGCACATACATAATAGCGTGATAACTTCCTTGATTCCATACGCTTATTCTCATATAAACGGTGATGCGAATCCTCGTGTACTTCGTCTGTTCACCGAATCTCGATCGATTTGTCAAAACTTTTCAGTCGAAATAGCATATGGTATTGCGGATTTGGTGCACTTGCTACTGATGTTTTCGGTGAAAAAATAAATAATAACGACCCCATTCTAGTCCACAAGTAAGCATTAGAATGAAACGTGGGTGTGTTAATTGCCTTTCGGCTTGCATACCTGTCCTCTTGGGATACAAATAATTCACAGGAGCGCAGTTCCTCATCCTTTTTATTCCATCCACCACACACGAGGATAACATCCTGTTCACCTATCTTGAGAGAAACAGCCGCATGATTGTCACGTCCAGCCATGAGCGGTGCTCTGGGCTTCCACTGACGCTCTTTCACTTTGAACTCCTCCACTCGCGTTGAGCAGTATTCACCCTCAAGTCTTCCGCCGATGGCGAACACGCTTCCTTTTTTTAAAATTCAGAAGGAGTAGGGGAGAACAATATAACAAATGATTTAATGTAGCCTCTGGCTTTAAAATAATCTAATTTGATTTGGATCGGAGAATCCGACTTTCAGATTCATGCTCGAACTCGGCATCAGATAGAGGAAGAGCATGAGCCCGAAACGGTAGGACCATAAATCTCTTTTTTTTCAATGACTGAGCTCACTTCATTTAAGAAACTGCCCATAAGACTTTTTGCATGCGTCGATAATATGCTGCCATGTGCATGGGACCACTGACATTATAGTTTGTCTATTATAAAAATTTCAAATAAAACTCGCAAAAACATAGTGCCCACCCTTGATAGCCACGAAGGCTGTTCGCGAACATTTTTTCATTTGTCCCAGAGTTTCACTGTCATCGCAGTCGGGATTGTAAGTGCGCATATACCAGTTTTCCCATTCCTCAGATTGACCCAACACCACAATTTTATCCTCACCCTAAAGACATTAGTGAAACGCCAAAATAGCTAACCTCCTCAGAAGACATTTTACTCCGAAGGTGTGCTTGTGAATTACCTATTTTGTAGATAGTCGGCGACTGAGAACAAAGGAACGCAGCCACGCTGGCAAGGTAATTACTTGTTTTTATGCATGAGCCACCTGTGTTGCTGTGCGAAGAAGGATTGCCATTGTCTGGCTTTCGTGCTGGCTGCTGATTGGGTAACTAGGACGAAGGTGAAAACCCGCCAATTAAATGAAAATATGCTGCGTGCACAGTTCTCTTGCTGTGTTTGTAGTTTGTCTGCAAGACTGGAGTCACATGCGCACATGGAAGTGCTGACTATTGGTGAAAAGGCAGCCAATCAAAATCTAATGACTGTGGCATGTATCTCAGGTGTTTAGACCCGGGATGGAAATGTCAGCTATCAGGAGATCTAATGTCCATTAAAGCCTTCAAAAAGGACGGCGGCAGCGGCAACCCTTAAAAACTTGTTAATTGATACAATGCCCGCACTCCTGTTGTACGACTTCTTCTCATCCGAATGTACAGACTACCTACATTCACGCGGTCATCGCCATACCCTGAACGCAGTTAATGGCCAAATTTTCAGACAGATGCTTGTCGATTTTTGCTCTTTCCTTGGCTAACATAGAGTCTATACCTCATCAGAATGACTTCAGACTCCCCGTTTGATCACTGACATAGCCGCGTTCCCTGCATATTCGGTCGTTGACACATCCAAGTG